AACGGGGTCATTATTATAGCTCATTCTAAAACAGTGAAAGTAAATATGCAAAGCCAAGGACGATGCATTCACTGATTAACAAGTGTCAAAGTGACATTCAAGAAAGGTTTATCTTTATGTTTCAACTTATTTCTTAGTTTATTTTCTCTCGTTAGCCGCAATGTGCGACTTTTGGAACGGTGTTTTTCATTTCGATCAAGGAGCGAAGTGGATCAAGCCTGTACCAAAATAAACATTGATTTCGAAAGTGCATTTGCGGCATTAAGTTTCATATTTTTTAACGGCTAACGGTGACAGTTCCAAAATGTTTGCAAAACTCTAAGATGAACTGCACAGCATAAGTTTAAGAGAAGCTGCTCAGATATAAAGTAGCATGATGCAAACCAATGTAGCGTCTGAATTCAAGTTATCAACTTTGATTAAGATACACTGATTTATTTGCACCAATCATGTCAGCATCTGATTTCAAAAGGAAGCGTGGGAGGATGCTGTCAAATCTCACCAGAGTAAGAAGACGAGCCCTAGTAATGATTGAAAATAGAGGCTCTAGGACGCAGCTGGTCGACATGCTTAAGGAGCTGGACGCTGCACTTGAGTCTTTAGAAGAAGTGAACGAAGAGCTCAAAGAAGCAATAGCAGAAGATGAAGCACTTGTTCAAGAAGCGGTCGATTACATGAAGGTTGCAGAGCAGCAACACGACGAAGCATATCAATGCATACGAGAATATTTGAAATCCAGACAAGGTGAAACACCATCTATAGTGTCGGGCTCAATTCAGTCTCACCAGTCCAGCAGCTCGTTAGCTGCTCGAAGCGCTGACATTGCTTTTCAAGTGAAAGAAAAGGAACGTAAGCTTCTGGAGCGGCGACACCTGAGAGAAAGGGAAGAACAAGAGTTGCGAAGAAAAAATGAGCTTCAAGCCGCTAAAGATGCCGAAGAGTTAGCCAGGCTAGAAGCGCGCCTTACCGCAGCTGCTGAGAGTGAGCTCAGCTGGGACCGCAGAAAGGATTTTGATGGTGAGGCATCCGCAGTTGAAGAGCAAGGAGCTCAAACCGAAGGCGATTCCCCAGCTGAAAAGGAGTCTGAAGATGACAGCCCTGAAGTGCATGTGCCTATTCTGCCGTCCAGCGCCCGTCCTGTGCCAACGCAATCTGAATCTCTGTTCGCAAGAAGTCTCCCAAGAATCACGCTGCCAAACTTCAGTGGTAGTCCGGGAGAGTGGCCAAGATGGTTCGCGCTCTTCCGAATATTGGTGCACGATCAAGCAACCTTAAACTCCACTGAAAAAATGGCGCATCTACAAAACGCAGTAACGGGTCCGGCGCAGCAGCTGATCAGTGGGATGCTCTACGAAGGGACTCTCTATGAAGAAGCGCTGCACGCGCTAGAAAACCGCTTTGGCAGACAAGAGGACATTGTGCAGGCGAAAATGAAGGCTATCTTTGCATGCCCGTCGCCAGCAGATCTAGATCTGCAAGGATTGGAACGGTTTCACTCAGCTGTTCACTCTGCCGTAACAGTTCTTCAGAACCTGAAGTACGAAGGAGACCTTCAAAGCACAGAAAACCTGCGTAGAATAGTGGAGAAGTTGCCGCAAGAAATGAAGCGCGTTTGGAGCGCACACGTCGTTGAAATGGAGCCGGCCCGAGCTACATTGATCAACTTCGACCAGTGGCTCACAAAACAAGTGAGGATCTCTCAGAAGCTCACTGCCGTGACAATTCAAGACACTGATCAAGTCAAAAAACGCGCCTGGCAGTCCAGACCAGCAACTGGAGCACAACATCAAAAGACAAAAGAAAAGACACTGGCGACACTGGCTACAAACACTACAGCCTCACTCGATTCTGACACTTGTGTGTGTTGCAGCGGGAAGCATCATTTGAAGGACTGCGAAGCATTCAGAGCGCGAGACGCCAATGGCCGAGCTGAGCTAGTGTTCAGCTCAGGAATGTGCTTCATCTGCTTAAAGAAAGGCCACATGAGCAGAAATTGTGTCTTTTCTAAGAAGTGTGGAATAGACGGGTGCAGGATGAAACACCACAAGATGCTGCACGGCAGTCACCGTGTAAGGCCTCACGGTGGTGACCAGAGAGTCATAGCCGCAGTAACGGGAAACCGACCAGCAGAGGGAATGACGCTTCTCCAGATAGTTCCCGTTCGAGTGCACGGCCAAGATGGAAGATTTAGAGACACGCTGGCCCTGCTAGATCCAGGATCTCAGACCAGCTTATGCTCGGAAGCAATCATCAGAGATGTGAAGATTTCAGGCGAAGCGCAGTCGCTATGCATCGAAAATGTTGAAGGACGAGGAAGTACCAAGAGGTCTGAAAGGGTCCAGCTGACTCTGAGTCCTTTGTGCGAAGGTCAAGATGTTGACCGCAAGATCCTTGTTCCTGAAGCGTTCTCTGTGCCGCGAGTAAACGTCCGAGCACAGCACATTCCTAAACGATTGAAAGATGACTGGAAGCATCTACAAGGCATAAACATACCTGACTGCTCACAGGGAACAGTGGAGGTGCTTCTAGGCGCTAATGTCCTTGAAGCCGTTCTTCAACGCGAAGCCAAAGTTGGACGAGCAGGAGAACCGGTGGCGGTGCGCACGGCATTTGGCTGGACGTTGACCGGCACGATCGCTGGTTTCGTCCCACCTCAAACCAGAGAGGTGATGTTCATCCACCGTGCGGACACAGAAGACAGGCATCTCGGAGAGTGTGTCGAAGAGTGGTGGAAGACTGATTCATTTGGCACGAAAGTTGAGCTCAAAGGGGAAGCTTCAGCAGAAGACCTGCGGGCATTGCGTCTCCTAGATACATCAGTGAAGAAATGCGGAGACCGATACGAAGCAGGACTTCTTTGGAAAGGCAAAGATCAGAGAATGCCTGACAACAGAGCATCAGCCATGAGAAGACTTCAGAGCCTTGAGAAAGGCTTGTTACGTAACCCGGAAAAGGCTAAGGCGTATGAAGCCGAGCTCCAAGCTTATGTTGAAGCGGGGCACGCACGCAAGCTGTCTCAAGAAGAAGCCGATCAGCGTTTGAAAAAGCGCTGGCTTCTACCACATCACGCGGTAGTAAACCCCAATAAACCCAAGCTGAGGGTAGTCTTTGATGCTGCAGCGACACACCTGGGAGTGTCCCTGAACAGTGAGCTGATGAAGGGACCGGACATGCTGCAGAATCTGGTTGGAATTTTGCTCCGCTTCAGAGAGGAACAGACTGCCATGGTAGCAGACATCAAGAAGATGTTCCACCAGATCAGGATTCGCCAGGAAGACCAGCCAGCATTAAGTTTCTGGTGGCGAAACCTTGACACCACACGACAGCCTGATATGTACCAAATGCAAGTAGCAATATTTGGCGCGAAGTGCAGCCCAGCGATCGCAAATTTTGTACTACAGAGAGCGGCAGAAGACGGCTGCACTGGCACAGAAGAGTCCACAGCAGCCAAGAAAGCGGTTCAGACCAGCTTTTACATGGATGACTTCGTCAAGTCAGAATGTTCCAGTGAAGCTGCACTCAATATGAAAAGAGAAGTCTCCAGCATCCTCGCCAAAGGAGGGTTTTGCCTCACGAAGTGGATGAGCAATGAGGAGAGGGTGCTGGCTGAAGTCCCGGTTGATGAAAGAGCTGTCTTGAAGATAGACTCGTCGGGCAAGTCGTACTGCAGCGTTTTAGGATGCAAATGGACCCCGCAGGACGACTACCTGGCCGTCAAGTGTAGCGTAGTCGCGGTGCCGCCGACGAAGAGAGGAATCCTGAAGCAAGTCGCGTCTATGTTTGATCCTTTAGGGATCGTGGCGCCCTACACACTAGTGGCGAAGAAACTGATCCAGAGTCTCTGGGAAAGAAAGCTAGGCTGGGATGAAGGAATCACAGGAGAAACCCTACATATCTGGAGACGCTGGCAAGAAGAGCTTCAGCATGTTGAGGACGCATGTGTTCCACGGTGGTATGGCGCGCCGGAACAAGAAGTTGACGCTCAGTACGAGCTGCACATGTTCAGCGACGCCTCCGAATTAGCGTTCGGTACCGTAGCATACATCAGAGTATTGTCCAGCGGCTACTATCACAGTCGCTTTGTGATGGCTCGCACTAGGCTCGCACCTCTGCGACAGCTGTCGATAGTCCGACTTGAGCTGCAAGGTGCCGTCATGTCAACAAGAGTAGCCAGTCTTATCAAAAGGGAAATGAACTACAACTTCAAGCGAATCGTCTTCTGGACAGACAGTCAAGTGGTGCTGCAGTTTTTGAAGAACGAAAGTCGGCGATACCACACATTTGTGGCGAATCGTGTATCTGAGATTCACGACACGACAAGCCCAGATCAGTGGCGCTTCGTGCCAGGCTCAGAAAATCCGGCAGATCTCTGCTCAAGAGGAAAGTCTCTGTCAGAGTTGAAAAACCAGCAAGAGTGGTGGCTAGGCCCAGCGTTTCTAGAAAGCAAAGAAGAGCACTGGCCACCACAAGAAGACGTAGGAGACATCAGTCCAGACTGTGTAGAAGTCAAGAGGTCAGCAGCCATCTGTGCGACAAGTCATGCTAGTTCACCAAAAGAAGAGATCACTTCTCTACTGTCCCAGCTCATAGACCCGGCGCGGTTCTCTTCATGGACTCGTTACAGACGCATTGTCGCATGGATAAGGCGATTCATCAGCAACGTGAAGAGCAAGGTTGCTGGCACAGAAGTCATTGATGGTCCACTACGCAGCGCAGAAATTGTTGCGGCTGAAATCAGCATAATAAAGGACGATCAAGAAACCTGCATGAAACAAGCTAGTCTCGACCACCTGTCTCCATTCCGAGATCAACACGGCCTCATGAGAGTTGGTGGGCGCCTGAGCAAGACTTCGTTAGACGAGTACACGAAACACCCCGTCATTCTTGACGCCAAGAGTGAGATCACCAGACTGGTCATTGTCGATGCACATCAGCGAGTCATGCATTGGGGATTGGAAAGAACACTTTGTGAGCTGAGATCGAAGTACTGGGTGCAACGGATGCGGTCAGCTGTGAAGAAGCACCTGTGGAAGTGTGCATTCTGCCGTAACCGTCGCGCCTCGCCTCAGCCACCCAGGATGGCAGACTTGCCAGAGGCCCGTCTAGACATGAGACGTCCGTTCAGCACAGTCGGACTCGACTTTTTCGGACCTCTGACGGTGAAGAAGTTTCGAAAGACAGAAAAGAGATATGTGCTGCTGATCACATGTCTCGCCACTCGGGCCATCCATTTGGAGCTAGCTGCTTTGATGGACACCAGTAGCTTCATCATGGCACTGCGCCGCTTTATCGCACGAAGAGGTAGACCTCGAACTATCTACTCGGACAATGGCACTAATCTAGTCGGAGGCGAAAGAGAACTGCGAGAAGCCATCGAACATTGGAATCAGGCACAGATATCCGATGCTTTGAGTCAGAGAAACATCCAGTGGGTGTTCATCCCGCCAGCCGCCCCGCATATGGGCGGTGCATGGGAGCGTCTGATCGCCTCGGTGAAGCGCTCCCTCAAAGTGGTTCTAGGAAACAAATGCGTCTCGGAGGACGTTCTTCAGGCGACCCTAGCGGAGGTCGAATTCATGATCAACGGCCGTCCTCTGACCTACATTAGCAGTGATCCTCAAGACCCCGAACCTCTTACGCCCAACCACTTCTTGTTGGGCTCATCTGATGGAAGAGAAGGACTACCGCCAGGGGTATTCAATGATGCTGATGCTGATGTTGTTGGACGGAGGAGATGGCAACAAGTACAGATCCTCGCTGAACATCTGTGGAAAAGGTGGCTCAAGGAGTACCTTCCTACGCTGATAAACAGACAGAAATGGAAGACAGAGAAGAAGAATCTGCAGATAGACGACGTAGTTTTGGTCGTCAACAGTCAGAGTCCTAGAGGATACTGGGAATTGGGACGCATCACAAGAGTCTACCCAGGCTCTGACGGAGGAGTCAGATCAGCGGAAGTGAAGACAAAGAGTGGGACGTATGTTCGCCCGACAACGAAGTTGTGTCTCTTGGAGAGTCTCAACTAAGCCTCTAAATCGGAATCATCGGAGAATCCGTGCGACGGGTGCACGGCCAACTGGCCCAATATGTGATGCTCATGTGAGACGAACCGTGAAAGTAATGTTGATCTTGATGGAGAGGGTACGTTCTGTGTTCGAAGACATTGATAATGATCCGCGTGGCTAGCACCCACATTTGTGACCTGCGTAAGGTCAACGCGAGCCGTGACAGAATCGGCATGGGCCGTTAGTGCTCAGAGCTGACACGGTGTGGTCGTTAAGTGCAGAGTGAAAGACACCGAGGGGTGTCAGGAACGTGTGGCCTGTATCGCGAGTGACATGTTTCGTGTTCCCCCTTGTGAACACTGGTGGGGGAGGATGTCGCGACCGGGGGGTACTGTGCGTTTGTTGCCTAGCAACGAAATTGTTGTCATATTTTTGTGCTTAGAAAATTAAGGAAAAGGGATGAGAAACTGATTGAAACGGGGTCATTATTATAGCTCATTCTAAAACAGTGAAAGTAAATATGCAAAGCCAAGGACGATGCATTCACTGATTAACAAGTGTCAAAGTGACATTCAAGAAAGGTTTATCTTTATGTTTCAACTTATTTCTTAGTTTATTTTCTCTCGTTAGCCGCAATGTGCGACTTTTGGAACGGTGTTTTTCATTTCGATCAAGGAGCGAAGTGGATCAAGCCTGTACCAAAATAAACATTGATTTCGAAAGTGCATTTGCGGCATTAAGTTTCATATTTTTTAACGGCTAACGGTGACAACTCCTCTGCTCAATTGTTGTATAAACTAAGGACTGTCCATAAAACAAAGTTGGAACAATAAAACATTTAAAAAAAAAATAGGCTAACGTCGTTTCTCATCGGAGTATCCCAAGGACATTTTTACCACTGTGCGGCGCTTAATTTACCTTCTTGCATCCCTAAAGCATGGGACTGGCAGTCGATCTGACACACTGACAGTTGTGATGCCATGTTGACAGTTGACCTGACATACTGACAGTTGTGGTGCCATGTTGACAGTTGACCTGACATACGCTGTGCAGTGCACCCACTGACATCAACAGACCTCGCACAGGTATTGGTATGGCTCCTCTGAACTGCGCCTTGGGGCAACGCCTACGCCCTACGCTGAGGGGTGTTTTGTTAGACGAACGTAAGCTCGCGGAGGTAGCTGCGTAGGAGTGGCATAGACGGATTATAATCAATAGACGTGGTGTGCAATGGGAAAACGATCTAGGTCAGCCCGTAAGTTGATCAGAAAACGTCGGGGAAGCGAAGTTTGATGTTGTATGCAAGGGTAGCGTGCTTAAAAATCAATATATCGTTTAGAAATATATATTTAGAGCAGGGTTGCGGAGCCGGAGCCGGAGCTGGAGCCAGAGCCGCCAAAGCCGGAGCCGTGAAACAATATAGCCCGGAGCCGGAGCCGGAGCTGGAGCCGTCAAAAATGGGGCGACTCCGGCTCCTTTTTTTTGAAGAGGAAAAATTTATTGACCTAGTTCGGTTTGACAGTACAAGGCAGTAAAACATGTGGTATTCAAAATATGAAGATAGTCAAGGCCCCTGAAAACAAAAATAGCCTTGTTATGCAAATACAGAAGCAACGTGTACCAATCCCATCGTCTTTTTTCTTCTACCCGTATTTAATTGCATAGGGGATGTACTAAGTACTGATATTTCACCCGGAGCCGGAGCCGGAGCCGTCTGAAATTTCCACGGCTCCGCATCCCTGATTTAGTGTTATTAAAAACTATTTTGGTATAGTATACCCATGCTAAATGTGGTGTGTATATGTAACCTTTTTTTAAATGCCTTGCCACAGACAGATAATCGTTCAAAGGTCTTCACTTTTATCAAGCATTTCCAAAATAATACTATGGCACAGCAAGCCACCAAGGTACAGGCTGGGTGGACTGACCTGGTTAGATGGTCTTCCGGTCTGGTAAGATGGCTAGTTAGATTATCTTGCACAGCTTTTAACACATCGCTCTGTCGCTCTGCTGATCGATTACTTTCAATAAACTTAAAATATCAAATTTCGGTGGCCGTTTTTCACCGCATAACATTGTCATAGTCATCTCGCACTGTCCTCACTGCCTCTGTTGGGCTGATCCCGCACATGCAACTATTCTCCTTGCTGAGATTCCTGACGCCACCTAGCGACAGGGGCCAGTGCTGCGGTCTGCGTGTCAGCGGTCTCGAGCGCTGATTGGCTGACTAACAGTTCGGCCGGTCGTCGCCCCAGGGCTTTGGCTGCGCTTCAAGTACGCGTGCAGCTTGTGTCGGGCGTTGAATAGGCATGTCAAGAAAATCTTTGTACCTACGGTGCAAACGTTCTGTAAATATGCTCATTGATGTTAAAATAACAAAACCCATTTGATAAGGGAAAGAAACATGTGACAAGGGGATCATGTTGTGTTGTGCATGTTCTTCTGATTTTCAACGATGACTTCACACACATGAGCAGATGCTGTTCGTTTCATTGTCTTCGCGAAACGCTAGACATGTAAAATCATCACTTATTATTTCACCGTTAATTGTTATGTAAAGCATCACTTAAAATCTAAAACCATAAGCTAATATCATCAAACCATGCAAAAATACCGATTACCTAGTTTAAGATATCATCAAGTCGCAATAGGTAATCATCCTTTAGCTCACATTACATGATTAGCAGATTATCGTGACCAAAAGGCATGGCACTTCAGCACCTTTTTACCGACCCTGTACTCGAAATATGTCGCAAATGTGATGACTCACTGTGTCGAGGAGGACCGTGTGCGGCATGTCGCGCTCACCAGTCGTGCTCGCTCACCGCCTGTCATGTGGCGACCGATGAAAAAAGTGCGCCGGCCGGTCTCGGAGCGAGGCTTTGGCCGCCAGCCGCCGTCGCGACCAGCACGACCCGGTTTCCGGACGCTGTAACGAGTCATCGCGACGGCCGACCGAGACGGGAGTTCATCTCCGGGGACATCACAGAAAAATGGCCCCAATCTGCTGATTTAGCCCTAAGCCACCGCACCTGACTATGCGAAAAGGTGGTGTAGAATTCCGCAGAGTTTGGGCTCGGCAGTGAGACAGAACGCTAGAAACGCTTACTTTGAACAAGATGTCTGATTATCGGGAAGATACCTACATGACAAAAGCAAAAGGGAATAGCGGGCGACCGGAAAGGAAAGATGTCACCACCGGAAACTGTTCGTTCCAGAAACAATAGCGATTACGTGGGAGTAGGCAAAATGCGCGAAAACCACACAAAAACAGACTCCAATGTCAGATCATCCGAGCGGCTGATTGAAAGAACGCTGAAACCACGGGCAAAACGCAAATCCATCGACCCGGCAGTCCGCGCTTCGCCTTGTCAACGTCAAAAGTGACATATGGGTCGGGTCTCTGCCCACTGATTTCGAGTCCTCCCCAAATGGTCACAGATCGCCATACATAGGGAATGGGTGCCCTGGCTCTATACTATATGTACTGTGAGCCCGGTGACAGTGTGACTGGTGAACTGTGGTCTGTGATTGTATGACTGGTGAGTGGTGATTGGATGAGTGGTGACTATGTGACGTGGTGACGGACTGAGAGAGAAGTTGGCGCACTAGATGGGCGAGCGACACCTCGTGAGAAACCCGCGGAGGGTGGTGAGGCGTGTTGCAGAGTTTTGTTTGCAGTGGTGGAACGTCCGGTAAAAATGGAAAGGGCTGGGTGCCTCCTATTGTCACAGGACCTTCCTTGAAATTAACACACGCATACAAGAAGCATAAAGACAAACATATGAATGCTTGCGAAAAATAAAATGCAAAAAAGCTTGTCTAGTCGATAATCGTCAATTTTCCAACAGGAAAAACGGAAATTAAGTCACAGCTTCCAGTTTGTTACATAGAAAGGCGTGTTTACCAGCATATGTTTTGACTGCTGAAACCTTGGGAAGAAATACAGCATACGTGTAGACATACGTACGTGTAGACATACGTGTATGTTGTCCAGCTGAGAAGCGATTCTACTTGCAGGTCTGACTCTATAGAGTATCAAAGGCTGCCTCTTTGAATTTAAGAATCATTATTCACACTTGCAGCATGCGCACTAAGTCTAGACTGGCAGCATGCTTTTCCCCCTAGGTGCCCCGGTGCAGGTGACCGACACATACATACCGGGTGGCCCAGAAAAAACGTTCCGAACTTTGGAGGCCTATATATCAAATACGAGTACAAATAACGAGCCAAAATTTTCATCAAGCTTGCGCCATTTCTTTGCGCATTGGTATGCCAAATTATAACACTATACCATCATTTTCAAGCTGGCAATCGTGAGTTGAATTAACCCGCGCCCCGTAGGGGGGGGGGCCGAAACGGCCCCCCCTGTCCTTTTCGGTCGATATCTCCTAAACGGCTGGAGATATCGCCACCAAACTTTCAGGACCCCTCCGGGCATCAATTTTACACATTGTGACCAAAAATTTTTCCAGAGGCTATGATAGGTTGGCCACAAATGACGTCAGAGTGACGTCATGTTCTGTCATTTACGACCGAAAAAAGACCTTCGCGAGAAGACCTGTCAGGACTACAGCTTTGAAGATACAGAAAAATGATCAAGACATAAAAGGTGTAGAATTGACAGGGCTACAAAACTGCTATCTCGAATTTTTGAAATTTTTGAGTTTTGACCCCCAAAAATAAAAAACATTTTTTTTATATATTCGCCAAAAAATCCAAAAAGTTTTTTGAGTTTCGAAAAAACCGGAATATATGTGATAGTGCTTACCGTCTTCTATCCACATACCAAATTTCAGATCGATACCTCGTTTTTTGGCCAAGTTATAGCGAAAAAACTGTTCAAAAATGATGACGTCAAATTGTCAAACTCAATTTTTGGCAATTCTAGAACTCGTAGAGCAAAACGAAGACCACCATTAGACTCCCCGTGACGAGCTGCATCGAATCGATACCCATTTTATGCAAAAATATCAACTTTGAAATTTGAACTAATTTGACCTGACCTTGACCTGACCTTC